CCGCGCTGAGGTGAGGCGGCCCCGCGGAGCGAGGGGTGTGGGGGGGGTGTCGTTCTGTCCGACACGGGCACGCAGGTGGGCCGGGCCTCCCTCCCTGAGTGAGAATATGGCAAAGAATCGGGCAATTATGTTTTTAGAAAAGGTTTTGTTCGCAGCGCGGCATCATTTGAACGCTCGGCGCGTCTCGCAGCTGCGGCATCAACCGGGTTAACGCGCCCTCAGGAGAAACTGTGTGAAACTGGTGGAATTTGACAGCCGTGTCAGGTTAAAAATAGTTCTTTGAAAGTGTCAGACCCCTTGGAAGAGAAACATTTAAAAATCATAACCGATATTCCATGATACGATTTTTTTTTTCTAAATAAAAGCTAAGGTTTTGAACCATTAAACAGTCTATTTGAGAAAAAGAGACTGTACAGAAGAGTAAGCAGAGAAATGGAAACAGATTTTTCCTTTTAATAATTGCAAGCAATATCTCAAACTCAGCAATCTTAAACCATTGAGCTATGTAGTATGAATGTGCTAATTAATCAATTACTACCCAACAATGTAGCCTGTTTGTTTACTGTTATGTACTACATGTGCGTAGAACCAGTAATTATTAATCATCGTCAGAAACAAATTTGACTCAAGTTCACCTTCCTATAATTAATAGAGCATATACTGATCTTTAATATCTTTCTTTATTAGTGGCAACAATGATTGAGAATAGAAAAGAAGTTGGAGTCCGATACTGTGGCTCACTATGGTGAGGGGCTGAACTAATGTATTACGCCTTAAAAGTGATATTCTGCTGTTACATTTCATGGTCAAAATTACCTCCTATAAAGCAGACATATGACAGTTACTTTGATTTTCAAAACTATTTATTTCGAGATATTTTGCAGTTAACCTTCTGTTGCTTTTAGCGTTTAAAGTGCAAGAGGAAGGGAAAAACCCTTGAGCCTCTGGCAGTGTAACCTTGCACAGGTGAAGAGAACATAGATGCACCTCCACTTGCACAACATGTACTACAAATGGAATGAAGTTACATTTACAAATATTTATATTAAATTTATTATATATTTACAAATACATAGCAAAACACTGCATACTTCAAGAGTATCAAAACCAAACATCCTAAAGATGAGGCTGGAACTACTACAAAGCATTCTTCCAAATGTCTTCTGTTAGTAATATTTGGTTGCGCTATTCAGGTCTCTGCATTCATTGCATTCTGGTATAGTCTGATCATTTTTTACGTCAAAACAGTTTCCCCAAAATGTACATCTTTGTGATGAAGCTAAAAACCTGTCTAACCATTCTTCAGTCGAGATGATATATTAAGTTACAAATCTATGATTGATGATTTGTTAAATGGAAGTGATGTTAGGTAACTACTGTGAAATGTTGAGGATCGGGTTAGTTTTAAAATTCCAGGGATTCATTGCCTTAACTTAGATGGAAGGTGGTAAATTCTCCTGAACTATCCATTTGAATGAGGTGTAACAGATCTTTCAGGAGATGGGTAGGGTGAATACATCATTTCATAAGACATCTGGAAGTGGTTGTGCTGATGAACTGCTTTTTTGATCTCTACTCAGAGTTGTCACTCTAAAAATATGGAAACTTGGGCTGAATGCCCCTTTTTTTGGTGTTTTTGTAGGGCTTTAAACCCAAATACCTAAAAAGGAAGACCCAGTTTCCAGTATGAACTGCAGGTAACGTTCTCTCAGGAGAATGACCTGAAATGGTTAGCACATGTGCCTCAGACAATGTGTCGGTTCTTGCAAAAACAAGATCCACGAAGTGCTGTCAACTGAACACACATCTTCATTTGCAGCTCTGGCCCATCAGAAGCACAACACCTTTATTTTAATTGCATCTTCTGCAGTTGATGCCAAACCCCACTGCCCCTCATCTTCTTCCACCAGCATTCTACCACACCTTGCAGCTGGGAAACCAGCTTGGGCTTTTGCTGTCCTCAGCTGCAGAATTCTTTGGCCATTTCTGATGAGCAGCCACACCTGGGCCACCTTTTATCTTTGGATTCCCTCTTGCTCTGTTTTCTCCCCAGTTTGGATCATGTTCTAAATAGTGCTAAAATTCAAGCTACAGTTCAAGTACTCTATTAAGTGAGTGGGAATAAATAATCCAGTTGTGTGAACAGGAGAATCATTACTATATTTCTGACTTTTTTTTTTAAAGATTATAATTTCATTTTATATCTGTTATAGTGCTAAAAAAATACATTTTTGGCACCAGCAGCATGGGAGTCGAATGTGAGAGACTGTAAAGCAGTTTCAATCCTTCCATCAGCTCAACGCTCAGAAGTGTTAATAGTAATTAAAAACTTTTTTCCTCAAAATACATTTCACACTTTGCACATACTGAGAAATCTCTCTCACCACAGGAACTTTCAGATCACTTGTTCCCTGCAAAAACAGGTACAGTTTTCTTTTGTCAGAATAGAACAAAGACAGAAGGAAGTGCAGGTTTCATTTACTCCTAGGACACTGCAGTCTATTAAGTGCCAGTGAACTAATGAGCCTCTCAGACCTTATGTTGTTCTGGCTTGGATCAAGGCTCGGTTTTCCTTAACCCTTAAGAAACTAGCTGACTCCTAGGCTGATACCGCCATGCTCTCCTATGCCTCCTTCTTCTCCAGGACATTGCTTCTGCTGACCAAACTGGGACATTATATAGCTGGGATGTGAAGCTACGTGAGAGATCCACAAAGAGCTTCTTAGCAGTAAAATAAGAGGGAGTGTATTATAAATGCAATAAGGAGACAGTCAGAATAAGATACTGTTTTGCAGCCCCTCAAAGTAGAAGAGAGAACAAATGTATCTTATTACTCTGCTAGGAGAACTAATAAGCAATTATACTGTGTTTTTTGGCATATTACCTCTTGGCAAGTGAGAGATCATTGTTGTACCTACCACAGCCAAAAATACCTCTGTTAATTCTATATGATTAGAAATGAAAGTAAGACTTCCAGGAAGTTCATTCATTGGCTGAATTTCACATTAGAAAAAAATCTCTGTGGGCTCTGGTATATCCAAACCGAGACCATATTGAGATTACATGTAAGAAAGGAACAAAACCAAACAAAAAAGAACTAAACACAAATATTCTTTCAGACTTTTATTTGAATCAGGGATCAGCATGTATGCAAACATTCCCATCTGCAATGAACCAAAGTAGAAGAGAAAAAGGCTAACACCAAAGGTAATGTTTAAAGCTAACGGAGACTTGGGCTTCAGAAAAACTGGGCACTGATCTGCAACTGCTTGGTCACATTGATTATTTGTCTGAAAAACTGGTTTTGCCTGACCTTTTGGGGAAGTAACCTCAAAGATACTTGCCATCCTTGGGACAGCAGTGCCCATCCAATGGAGAAGATGCACTCTTCTATAGTAAAATTTAAAATGCATTGGTTTGTTGGGATGAGATTAGAGATTTGAAGAACAAAGATAATTTTACAGATATAACTGTTGTCCTTTAACGTAACAATGCACAGCAATTCTGATAAAAAAAGTCAGCAGTATCTGAAATAGAGAACCTATCTGATAGACAGGTAGATCTGCAGAAGCCATGGTATACTGAGAATCATAGTACAAGTATAATTGTACTGATCCGCTCAGAATCTATTGTTGAACCAGCACCACTGCTGTTATTTTTCATCATTTGAAAGTGAACGTAAAACAACTGCTGCATAAATCTGTAGATAAGAAACAGCAGAATGATAACAATAAGGACAATTGGTTCTGAGGAGGAATCTGGGTTGCTGGCCTTACTGATAAGGTGGGATTTAAGTGTATTTATTTGTACGCAGAGGAACACTGGACCTATTTTCGTGTTGGAAGCCTGTATTTTAGAAGACAATAGGTTTGAAAGGGAATTTAGGGTCACGGAACTCTTCAATAGAGTATGATCTCTGCGTCTGATTTAGTGACAGAGTGATCCCTCTAAGTATTCTGTTAATAAGATTTTAAAAACAGATACTGTACTTCAGGAATGACAGTATGAACATCAGGGGCATTTACTGTGATCCTCTGCTTTTCAACAGTTTATTCCTGTGAAAGAAGGGGTATTCTGAACGCTGCTTTTCAACAGTTTATTCCTGTGAAAGAAGGGATATTCTGAACACCGCAGTCAGAAACCATGGAAATGTACTCAGTTAATATTACTTCACATGCCAATGCAGAAGGAAAACCAAACCTGTTCTTACAGATGAGAAAGCATTTCCAGAAGCATAAAGAATAAGGCATTTAAACATTTTCCGTTAACTATTCTTTCAGAGCATCTGCTTTCGAAGGTTGCTCTTCTTCCAATTTCTGTTTGTTTTCTGCTGTAATTCCTAGAATTGCTTCAATATCTTGAATTGCCATCTGTAACAGATTCAAGGAATACAAGTTATTTAATGGGCATTATAATGAAATCTAGCAGCCAAAATGCACAGCTGGTTGTACTTGCCTTGAAAAGGTAACCAGTGTTACACAGGACGTGATGCACCAATTAAATTTACTATTACTTTGGGGACAGTTGGGGGAATTATTAGTAAATATGTAACAAATCTCAGGTAAATAAAAAATACAATTCGTTGCAATTTGTACTTCTAATTAACTAACAGGTGTTCTATTTCACATATGTAAATCATTGTTAACTCACTATGAAGAAGAGTTCCCTTTCATATTTTTCTTCAGTGGTTGCTTTTCACTCCCTCACATGGAAGAAAAGGGGGGTGTGGTGTTTGTTTGTTTATTCTGTAACATGTTGAAATTTAATTGTATCTTCTCTAGAACTGTCATTTCCACTCTGATGGTCAGAGGAAATACAGTCAGAGTTAACACTGGAAAGAATTTGGTATAAATTACGTTCTGTGATTTAAGATAGAAATCTGTAACACAGTGCTCCTCCTCACCTTTCTACAAAACGCTTACAGACAGGATCTTATAAACTTTTTATAAAGTTAAAGGTGATATAGTTTAGCAAGAGAACTCCCTCCGGAAAGTTTAGCTATTCTCTGGAATCAAAAAGCAGCATTGTAATGAGCGCTCGTTGCAGGGCACAGGGTTGGATTCATTATTGCTTTACTGTCTCCTTTAGCCAGCAAGGTCGGCACAAAGGAGCTTCCGAGTAAAGGTGGGCACTCCTGGGGGAACCTTCCCAGTGTGACGAGCCCCCGTGCTTTGTCTTGCCTCCCCCCGCACCACCCCACAGCATCCTCTGGGGCGCAGGGATGGGCGCTGCGGGTAGATTCAAAGAGGAGAGAAAATTGGGAACAAAATTGACTTGTGAAATTGATGGCGGGGTGAAAGATGTGAACGAATGGATTAAGTACTCAGTGGCTGCCTGCCTGAAAGAAATCAGTGTTAATAATCTAAGGAGCTATTATAAGATGAGAAGTTTGTTTCTAATTTAAGATTCCTACCTCGATGGTGTCCCTTCAAAATAAACCCGGCAATTGTGACAGAAGTGTCTGAGGCAGTGCCAATAGCTCCTTTGCTCTTACAAAAGACAGTTGGGAGCATTACATTACAAATAATTTCACGCTAAAGTATGTCTCTTTTCAAAGCAAAAGTTTCAAACTTAAATTTAACTAACAGGTTCATTGGGAGACTTACTATATTGACCTAGACACTGTAAAATACATACCGCTAACAATAAAAAAGAAATGGTTTAGCACTTGTTTATGATACAGCATGAGGTATTTTCAGCCCTTGTACAGAAATTACCCAGGATCGTTAGTTAATTAACACCTCACCTTAAAATTGGTCTCGCCTTGCATATTAGGTGCTGATATTTCTTGATGGATGATGAAGAGATTGCGAGCAAAGGTCATGAGGACCCCCTGGAGATCCTCTCCGATTGTTCTGTTAATGATATCCAAACAAATGAGTTTACCAATGATTCCCTTCACATGCTTAAAAACAATCGCCCTCTCATTTGTGCCTGTCTGGTGATGGAATTTAATGAGTGTTTTCAATCTCACAAGGTGGCAATCTTCAGGGAGATATGAAAGATGAGGCTCCATTTTAACTTGTCAACAGAAAGGATTTGTGTAATAAATAATTTTTATTAATCAACTTCGCAGAAGTAAGCGGTAAGGTTTCAGCTACTCCAAGTAAAAGGCTACCGTTGAGTTAGGACTGAGACAGTAGAACACTTCAAACACCTAGATTAGTTCAGAAGAGCTGTTGCTTCTGCCTACAATTCGTGAAAGACATCTGAAAAGAGAGAATTTGGCAGTATCAGCATTTCTTAGATTGCTGTAGCTTTTGAGGCTTTGGTTTCTTGGTGGTACATACAGACTCTGAATGCATACGATCTTACAGAACAGGTTATTATGCTGAGGGAGAATGTACCTCATTTACTGACTAGAACTAACAACAGATCTCCAGTGTAGTAAAATGGATGATAATTCACATAGATGTTTTAGGTATTTCAGTGATTTTATAAGATCAAACCGTTATATTCTTGAAAATATTTCTAAATTAAGCTAGTGAAATTGCATTGAAAATCTGATAGAGGACAGATCTGGGATCAGAATGTATGGCAAATATATTTGAGAGTGACCCCATAGCTGGAGTCAGGGAAGGAAAGAGCTCACCTTTCAGCATCAGTGGGCACTTAGGACAGTCTTGTGGCTTATGGAACACTTTGAGATGCCTACATCACTTTCCAAATGGCTCCTGTAGATATTTTACAATTTCTTGTTTAGTGATTTTCTTTCGAATTTGCCTTACAGCTCAATCACATAAGCTGCCCACATGGTGACTGCAGGTGAGTGCAGTGTAGTATAGGAATATCTAAGCTTTAAACAAATCTGACTCACCTGTATGCTACCCACAGCCTCATTCACCAGGAGCTCAGCACAGGCTGAAAGAATCATGGCCCGAGAAACAATCTTCAGGATTCGTTTAGTCAGTTCCCTGTGCTAAGGCAGGATCAATGCTGCTTACATCATCCGGACACCGGTTTGTCAGATCTGTTACTAAACACTGTCAATGACAACTGCACTGAACAATCTAATTAGTTCTTCACTTCCATCAGAAGTTTTTCTTATGCTAAACATGAGTCTTTCTTGCTGCAAGTTAAGTTCATTTCTTCTTGTCCTGCTACCAAAGACATGGAAATCGGACTTTTCCTTCCTGCAGAGGCTTTTTATTGTGCTTAAAGATGGTTAGCAGATCTCACTTCTGCCTCCTCCCGTCTTGCTTTGTAAGTGATGCCTTCAGAACTCCAAACATTTCCATTGCCTCCCTCTGAGTAGAACGGCAGGATTACTTCCAACGTCTCCCAGGTTATATTGTTTACCTTTTTCCATAAGATCATGACATCGTGACTTGCAGGCAGTTTGTAAGCCACTGTAACTCACAAATCCTTTTCCTCATATTCATTACTGCTACCTAACTGTAATTTCTTGCACCTGGTTCCAACTGAATGTAATTCTATTTTTCATACTGTTTCTTCAATTTGTCGAGATCATTTTGAATTCTACTCCTGCCCTCCAAAATGCTTGCAGTCACATCCAGCACCAGAAGAAGCCGTTTTCTTATCCAGGTCATTAATGAAATGGCTCCAGCATCAAAGGGATGCAGAACAGACTGAAAACAGGCTGTTTCAGCTCCTCACTCATTACATCCTATTTTGGCAGTAAACTTTACATAAAATTCTCTCTGAGGAGCGGTTTTCAATCAGTGTATAGTAGGTTCAGTGCAGATTATGCTCGCTTAGACTTCTTAGGAGAGGCTCATACATGTAAAGAATTACTAAACTATACTAAACTACCAGATCTGCTGTTGCTCAACTGCCGTTGATCACTTCGTGAAGAACAATCTAAAAAGGCATTTAACTTCAACCTTCTTTGGATCATGTATAGTTAGGTTTTCAATAACGTTGCTTGTAAAAGTTAAGCCTGCGCTAATCCGTGTGCTCTCACAGCTACATCGCTATTGACAGTGAATCTAGCTCTTGTCAAGCTAATTGCAGTAGGTCTTCAGTCTGCAGTGCAGTCAGGCTTTGATCTCAGCAGATTCCTGTACTTTTCTTTTTTTTTTAATTACTAAAATGCTTAAAGCCTTCCTAAAACTTTTCAAAAGGCCAGTCTGACAAGAAGTCATTATACTTTTCTGAATGGTAAATGACAGTCAGTGACCTTGAGCGCATGGTGCTCAGATTGTTCGTTTCCCTCCCGACCTGTGTCCCAGCACACGCTGTGGTGTCACTCTCTTCACATCAAGCGTGTTTCCAGCCGCTCATCACACTGGGGAACTGACAGGGGATACTTACATCATTCCCAGTCTGCATCGCTTCCGATCCTCATACAGTATAAAAACCGTTCCCTCTTTTTCCTGTTAAAAAAAAAAAGAAAAGACAAAGTTGCTTTAATTATTCCCAGACTAATGATAATTATAATGAATGTATTAAACATAGAGAGTAAATGCATAACCATATCTAAGAAAGCCTGGGTTTGAATTGTGTAATGGATTATTATACAGTGTAAGTAGATTATTGCTCTAGCTTATTGTAGAGAATACATTAACTTTATGTAAATAGAATGCATACAGCAGAGTCTATTCAATAGCAAGTTGGGTTTTTTCCCACAGTAGGAAGAGATGGCTATAAGTATTTTAAAAATTATCTCCTTAAACAGTTATTTTTATCAAGAGACAGGTTAACCCCTAAAAGCCTTATACACACTTACATTGAAAGACAGTGAAAATATGCCTAGGTTTTCCTGTCCTTTGAGTTTTCACTCGCCTTAGATATACATGGGACATGAACTGTCGTTAACCTTCTGTTCTGGTTCGTCACGGGACTGATACTGGTGACAGTTTGGTCAGCAGCAAAACTGGGTTTAATTTCTCGATGCACTGAGCGACAGTTACCACCGATCTCTGAGAGGTCTCGAGCAGGTGCCATCCCCGAGGAGGGTTTATACCGAGGAAACACGCAAAGCTCTGCATTTCCCAGTGCAGCCCTGTGCCGTGGGATTTGAAACCTCTATCTGCTCTTCTGCCTTGTGTAACACCTTCTGAACCCTTTTACATTTCATTCTTCTACAGTTTTGTTCATGAGCCTTAAGCACTTCCTTTCCTAGCAAAGACTGCATTTTCGTTTCTTTAATTTTCAGGACTCCTTCCAGTTTTCCATTATCACTCAACTTCTTGGCCTCTGAAGGTGTATCTTCTCTTGCGGCTATGGAGGTGAGTGCAAGGGCTGTACGATGGCCAAGCGCTCTCATGAAAACCCAGTGCTAGCATGGCCCTAAACCCAAGCGCAGCTCCTGGCTGACAGCCATAATCCTTTTCCCCCGCAGAGCTGTGCGAACAAACCCGCCGGGATGGCGTTCTCTCTCTAGTCTCCGAGAGAGACACGGTCTCACTCCCTGTTGTGTAATGTAAACACGTTGTAATACTCTTCATCCTTCACTGCTTCCAGTCTTAAGCCAAATCAGACAGATATCTCAGTACTGCAGTTCTTCAAGATTTTTACTCCAGCTAAAGTATAAAAAGCTGACAGGTAAGTGTTGCAACATTAGACTACTTTTTACAGGAACTACTGAAGTGCTTTATGCAATTCAGAGTTCAGTAATTAGCATCATGAAGACAATTTCAAATAAAATCAGTTCTGATGTATACCAAGTCCTCTTCAGCAAAACTGTAGAGCAACACCTTGCTGTGTTTTTAACAGAACACTTAAACATTATATTATGCTAAAGAGAACACTTAAACTTCACATCGTGCTAAGTGGTTTCACCATGTTAGAATTTACATACAAAAATTATGCAGAGTGAATATCACGTTTTCGAATCTTTCCCGTTCATACCTGGAGGTCAAATCCAACACCACGAGCTTTACACATCTGGAGGAGAACATTATAGCAGATTACTGAAAGGCTGGAGTGCCTCAGCTGACTGCTTGCTACTGCGCACCGGTTGCTTATCGGCGAAGGCTAGAGGAAACAACACCGGATTCTTTATTTTCATACCAGTTTACATCAGAAACCAACAATTTACATGGCTTTTTCACAGTGAACTCATGGAAGTCTGGAGTAACACTCCATTTGGAGGTGTTCTTGTTTATCACAATGTCTATTGAACATAGATATTTTCATGCAACGGAATTAAATCCTCACCTCGCACGGTATGTAAAAACTTATAGATCAGGTCTACAGAATCTCTCTTTATGAACCGCATTTTGATATTTTCACAGCCTCATTGGTATGTGAGCTCTGTGAAATCATTCTGAGTGGATCCTCTGAATCCATCCTGCCCTGCAGTAACACGTGTTGTCCCAGAGTCAGCTCTTCTCGCTGGCAGAAACTCCAAAGCAGGTTATCAGTAGTTTTTGCCTGAGAATTAAAGGTTTTAACCAGGTCTTCTAAAGTTACATTTCAAATGGGTTTCTCCAAGATGGAACATTCTGCTACTGCAGTAGTGTGCGTAATTTTTCCAGCAAGTCTTTGAGGAGACAAGGCCCAGCGCCACCAAGGAGCTCTACAGCTGATACCAGCGGAGTTCCTACTGTGGATGAAATTCAGTACAGCGTTTGAGTTTAAACTCCTGCCAGTGCTTCGGATGAAGGTCTAGAGATGTTGCATTGAGTAGAACTGAATGGAGATATTCTCCTAACCCAAGGCTTTCCTGTGATGTTATTTTTAATACTGGACTGTTCATTCAGAGTGGGGCTACTGCACGTTGAAGCATGTAATTTACAGTATTGTTTCTGAAACGGTATTTGTTTTGACATTGACTCATTTAAGTTGACATAGTTGAAATCCTTATATAATACATCTCTGCCTGAAAATTAATCATGTTTATAATATTCTGAGAATTAATAACACCCATTGCTCAAGTCATTAACTTAAAAAAGGAGCTTCCAAAATCTGTTCTCTGCAGTAGGGGACCACAAATAAATGAATGCTTGATAAAATAATCCAAGTAGCAGTTTAACAAGCGTAAACTTGAATGTGGCTGCAATAACACAGAACTATTGTTTAAGGGTTGGCATCAGGTTGATGAGGTGCTTATTTCAGCTACAAAGCATGCATACACATGCATAATGAACTGCAGTATGAATTATTAATGTGTTGCTTATTTAGCCTCATCTGTCTAGAAGATAATGTATCCTAACTATAATGAGTGATTGGTTTTGTACATAATTACAGTAGCAGCAGTATCTAGGAAATTTGTTCTTTCAAAGAAGGATTTCTAAAAATAAAATCATCACACAAACTCCGTTGCTGCTCCATTTTATCAAAATCAAACCTACCAGGATTGAGAATATATAATAAATTAAAAGGGACAGAATCATTATTAACATCATAATTTTACACAAAGTGTTTTACTTAATCATTTATTACAGATCATGTGCTGTAAAAGCATTTGTCTCTTGGTTTGTTTGTTTCTTTTTCTAAAGATACTTGCCCAAGAGAGTGCATTTTTCTAGTTAACTCTTAAGGAGATAAAAACCTTAGAAACAAAGAAAGAAGAAAAATAAAGGATATAGTGTCCATTTATGTTAATTCTGACATAATTTCAATTAAAAAAAGTTGCTACTTGATTACTTTTCATTTCTAAAACTTGTACTACTGGGACTAATCATCTCTAATTTACTTCTCTCCAACTAAAAGTGGTTGCTTGACAAGAACAACAGATCAAGAGCTCATTAACCTCTAAATTACAGCTCCATGACATTTTTGCAATGGTGCTACGTTCCTCCTCTATATATGAAAAAAAGAGAGCTCTGAATCTTCTGTCAAAATGTGTAAAATGGCATCTGATTTATATCTGTATGTGTATATCTACATGTACTTATACACACGTCTTACTCTCTGACTTTTCTAAAGGCCTGTCTTCCCTTTTTAGAGGGACAGTCTCAAGGTTCAGAGCCATATTAAAGCCTGCACCAAGACTGATCTAATACAACAAATCAGCATGAGCAAGTCATATGTTCACCGTGCTTCTGTGACAGTGTGGTTAGGAGGATGTCAAAGCAATACACAAATGCCATCTTATTTAAAATCACATCCCGGGAAGGCACTATTATTAATGAGTTTTCAGAGGGATTAAAGGTGACATCCACAAGAAGCAAGTGCCACCGCACTCATCTTTTCAATACCTAAACCGACACCGCTGAGCACCTCGGCTGTGTGTGCAGCACCCGCGGGGAGCGAGCACACGGGAATTCACAGCACGGGAGTGACACCGAGTCTGGCCAAATCTGACCTGGCAACAGAAAACAGACTGAGCAGGGGACTTCAGGGCCGAGCCGTCGTGCTTGGTGTTACACACAGGTGCTTCTGCCCCTTGCGCTTTGTAACTCTGGTCCAGAGAGAGCAAGCAGGAGGGGGTATGACTATTCCAGGAGTGTTCCTGCTCAGGCAACTCATCTCAGTTAGGGTGCTGTGAGTTTTTCTTCCTGTTCAAATGACTGTGTCCGTAATCATATAATGGTTTAGGTTGGAAAGGACCTTGAAGATCATCGAGTTCCAACCCCCCTTCCGTAGGCGGGGACACCTCCCACTAGACCAGCTTGCCCAATGAATACTGAATTCAATAATTAATTAATTAATAGTGAATATTAACCCTGAACAGTTAGATGGATGCAGAACTGAATGAAGGTTCCGAGAACCAAGATTTGGGTTTAACTCAAGCGAGAGCTGGGTGGGATTTAGGTGTCCAGATCCTTCTGCAGATGTAGCCCTGATTGTTTTACCCTCAGTTTTGCGCCTGAAAGTACAAATCTGGGGTAGAACTTCTGTGCTCTGACTTCTGATCCCAAATCGGAGCTCATGAGCTGAAGGCTCAGTTTTCTTCTTGACTGCTTTTAAGTTACTCCTGTAGTCAGAACAGTGCTTTCACCTCCTTCCCTTTTCTTGGAATTTACAAAGTACCACATTTTTTACAACTTGAAAACTACCTAAAATATTTAGAAGTTAGATACTACCACAAATCAATATTACTAAGTACAAAGGATGAATAATCAGGTACCCGTAAGCACTCAGAACCTTTCTTATTTCTAATGTGACGGTATCCCGTTTACTCTGTTAACCTTCTAAAATCTAAAAGTGGCAGTTTAAAATCCAAAAGGAGCAGATTCAGCTCCTCTAGAACAGTGATGTAGGACAGATTCTGACCTTTTGGTAATTGACATTAATAATTTTATTTGTAAACAAAAGCCGCTTACAGTTTTTGTCTCCTCATGCCGAATACGCTGGCTGTTCGTTTTCTTTGAACCCAGAGATACTTCCAAGCGGCTGGAGCGACAATCCAGATTTCCATCTGTCATGTACAACATGAGCTGAGTCAAGGCCAGCTGGTCACTGTAGCAAAGGTCAAGGTCTGTTGCCCATACCTAATCAAAACACAAACAGGTGCATTAAAATCAAATAAAAAAAAAAAATAGAAGGAGAACAAGAAGGGTGAAACTCAGCAGTCATGTGAAGGAACATCTATGCCTTTATTTCCATGCAAGTTGGCACACATACCTGCGGTTTCCTTGTGCTGGCGCATCATTGGCAGTGATAAACCACTGCCAAACGGGAACAATCAGAACTCAAATGTAACTTCAAAAGTTACTTTTCCGAGGAAACCGAAAGGCTAAGGACAAAACAGTGACCTGTGCGACCCAGATTTTAGCAAGAATTGGGAAAAGTAGATGGATGAGCTCAACAGCTGTAAAGCCTGTATCACATTCAATAGGTAATTATCTAAATACTAAATATCACACCTGGAATTTTCAGCTGAAGAATAATTAATGTTAAATAAAGTCAGCCTTGAGTTACAAATAGGAATTTTGAGATAGAAAAAGGGAAGTTCCAGAAGACAAAGCTAAACTGAGTAAAAGGAGTAGGGAAGTGTGAAATCCCTGTGTAAGGATACGTATCGGTCATCCCAGGGGTTGAGCAAAGCGCGTTCCCATTCCTGTCAAACAGGCGATACTTCAGCGTGCAGAAAACCATGCGACTTGCGGTGTGTTTCTGCTTCCACTCACTGCTGTTTTGTGGTGCTAATTCAGATTTATACTCGTGTAACTACACAAGAAATCAGACCGTAAGACCGTAGGGCTGCCAGTGGAACGTGTCCCACAGGCAGGCAGAAGGGAAGCCCACCCCACCCGTGTGCAGGACATACCTGCAGGCAATGACAAAAGCCTCACATCAACCTCAAGAAGATGTCAAAGCATTAAAGCATGTGAAAGCCAGGCAGGGTTTGCGAGGCCGGTCCATGCCGAGGGTGTAGCAGAAGGAGGTACCGTGGATTGCTGCTGCGAGACTCCTCTGCCCCCTGTGACCTGAGCATGGCTTTACCCGGGAGTTTTCCCCACTTAAAAAATGCTCGTGCCTCCTACGTCAATGAGAAATGCTAATGCACACAAATATCTGCCCTACAGTGGACCCCTTTAAAACAAATCTAGTAGTGAATGACTTGAATAAGCCTTTGAATGGTAAATGGCGTCATTATAAGGATATTAGGAGGTCAGGCAGTCAAGGCCTCTTGGTAAACTGGAGTTAATTTCTGAATCATATGCACATAGTAATGCCCTTTTTATAATAGCAAATAAATCACATCAGTAACAGTTGTTAATATCTAACTGCCAAGTATCTGTTGCTGTATTAAATATCCTGTTTGTCAACTTAAATATTTCCTGCCGCATGGTACAAAATGCAAATTGGTTGCTAATGGCTGGCTTTACTTAGTAGTAGGGGAATATTCCCCAATTACAATGCTTAATTTTCTTCAATAATTTATGCTTTATCATCACTTCTGCAACACAGGAGGGAACTTTCCTATCGATTTGTACTTTTCCAGTATGCCCTAACCTTTTCAACGAGCTGAATAGTAATTTTAAACTATACGTACTGTAGAAGTGTTACATTAATTTCCATAAATATTATCAACAAAGCAGTAACAGCCAACGTGTCTTGAACCTTGTTTGAGTTGGATGTTAGATTCTCAATTAAAGCTTTGCCCCCAGAAAGAGACGGCCGGGCCACATGAGGGGAGCAGGGACTATTGACAATCTCGCGTGTCCACAGACTGTTCACTCAGACAAAGCCAACTGGGTGCTCTTCATCCAGACCCTGATACCGCACCTACATTGCTGTAACCTCAAAGTCTACACCAGCGCTATCTGGAAGCTTTGGTGATGCACGAACAGAGGGGCAGGAGGCAAGTTTGTCTGAAGGTGGACCATAAAATGGCTGGGATGGAAAAACCACAGAAGTTAAGCAAAGACGTCACCGCGGCCGTAGTACATCTGGGTAAGTACAAGGGCTGCAGTCTGGCAACGTGTGGAGAATGGGTTGAGCGTTTAACAGCAGATAAAGCATTGAAAAACGCAGCCTGGCAAACATGAACAGCCATGAGCACAAGACAAATTCATTACACCCTGGTAGAGGTTCAGACAAACCATACGGAGAACGGCATAGCGCATACGTTTTGCGGGAGTCACTCAACAAACCCCACGTCATCAGTAACTAAAATTAAAGCACGCGCAAGTGACGTGGTTTTAATTTCAGGTGTGGAGAAGAGACCCATTGATTACTTGTGCGACACATTTCACGTGCTCTGAACAAAAACCCAGCATGCCAGCCTGGCTCTCGGGCCCCGCTGGCACGTTCCCAGCCGCCGCTGTGGGAAGGCACAGGAGCAGTCCTGCATCCCCGCAGAGGGGTGGCTCCAGCCTCATCTCTGCCCAGGGACGGGGCCGTAACACGGGGCAGAGGAGTAAAAGCTTTCAGCAGGGCAAGTTTCATGCTGGAAATCATGAGACCAACCAAATGCTATTTCGAGGAGTTTCTGTTTACTTTCCGAGCGCATCAACTAGTTGCTTTGGACGTGTTTTCATCATCTCAGACCAGCTACTCTCATGCCATTGCCTACAAAATTAAGGCGCTCAGATCAACAGGGTGGGCTGATGGTCCTATCGTGCAAGGAAGGAAGGTGTCCATCCCCTCCCCTGCCTGTTACTCTCTAACATTGTAGGAACGACAGCTCTGAACACCTACTTAAGCTTCAGTCACAGTTACATTCTACACCGGTAAAGTCAAGGTGGTTTTTGCCTTTTTATATGCAGAGTGTAGATCTCCACAGCCCTGAGCACAAGGGGGAGGACGGCAAACGTGGCTGGAAGCCACCTGTCCACCGCCTTTCATTCTGGGCCTGAGCCTGAGGCTGAACCACCCCTCTCGCAAGTTAAAGCGGCCAAATGGTCATTACTGCGTGCCAGCTGGGATCACCCCCAAGGATTCTTTTCCTGGCTCGGGATTGTCAGAGAACACTGTAATGTAGTCATGTCCCTCTCTGCCCTGGATACATCCCAGAACATCCCTAACGTGGGGAGAAAGGAAGAAGGATCAGGTGGCATAAGATTCTAGCTTAATTCTAGCAGGGGATTCCCTTTTGCCATGGAAATCCAGAAATGCCCTTTAAATCCCCTTTGTACTGCTACAGAAGTGGAAAAGACGCAGGGCCTGGGCAGTGGCTCTAACTTTATTTTCATGGCATTGGCAACAGGATAATTTTTTCCTTGTTTAATCAGTTCAAATGCAGCCCTGGCTGACTGAATCCTTTGATGGAACAGTTTTTAAGTTCCATTCCAGTTCATGAAGGTCACAACTGCTCTTTGAAAAATTACAGCAATCAATAACAGGCAACATTTTTGGTAGTCTTGAGCAAGGATGGAAGTTCGGCAGGCCTGAGTCTGGCTGGCGGAGCCCTGTGAAGACAACAGCGATGCAGCTGCTGATAGTGCTCTTATTCTGGAATTAGGCAGGGGACATCTGTGTGCTGGCTCTGTCAGCCTGGCACCTTTCACCAATGATATATCAATATATATTCCCAAATGGAAAAGGGGAGCTCATTATATTGTACTAAGCACATACTGACCATATTGAAGTTAGCAGGTGTCCCTTGAGTGTAATGACCTAAAATTAATTGTGATAAACAAAGAAAAGAGCACCAAAATCCTTTGTATCTGTGTCTACACAATTCTAATTAGGTGGACTCCATAGTTGATGGCTTCTCATTTTCTGTGAAGATGTCACCAGGCTTACGCTAAGATCACATATTTCCACTGCTTTGAAAGTGCTCTTTGGCATGCAGAACACTCGGCTAAATCGGTACGGCAAGAGCTGCCACCAGCAGCACACATGGAGAAGAACATGAGCTGAGAAAAACATCTAATGTTAGAGCAAGAAGAGCTGCGCGTCACATGTACATGACCAATTTGGGCAATATCATTTAGACATACCTATTTCTCTCTCTTCAGCTTCTTTTGCCATATTGAAATGTCGGAGCACAGGAGGCACTCAGCTTGGCTGCTCCTGCCGGTTCTGCAGCCCTGATGCTGCTGGCCGGCCTTAACAAAGCATCATGCAGCATGTGAGCAGAGGTAGGCCCAGAAAAGGGGGTATGGTGGAGAAGAAAGCAGCATTATCGAAGGTGGCACCAGTCACCCCAACTGGGGATGCGACTCTTCAACTGAAAGAATAGTCTCTGTGAAGGATGACGGAGCCTTTTGCAGTAGAGCTGATTCCACAGATGGCTCCTCCAGGTGCTCAGAGGCACAGAGCACCGCACGACGAAGAGGGAGTGCCATTTACAGACCTCCGCCATCGCTGGGATTGGATTGAAGGCTTCAGCCATCTATTTGGTTCCCCGCATACTGTGTAGCACGAGATTGTATACGGCAACTAAAAGGGCACTCGTCATTCTTGCCATTACCACTAGTAAGTAGAAGGAGCTCAGGCAGGCGCCCACTATTAATCCCTGTGAAAACTGTGAAATGTAGAAGCAGTTGAAACCGATACAGAAGTCAGGAGGGAAAAGGTAAGAGTGGCACTATGTGAGCTCTAAAGAAAAAGTACACAGCGTCAGATAAAAGCTGAAGTGAAGAACAGATCTCGATATAGTTTCCAGCACTGCCCAGTGTTACAGCGGAGCAAGGAACACTGCTTTCCAGCCAGGTTCCCGTTTCAAAGGCAGGAGTATCCCCCCAGTTCAGTGCCGGCAGAGCTGTAAAACAAGTAGGATGTGACATTTCTATCTGCGGCAGGCTTACACTGAAAAAAACCCAAACCCCCTACACTGTGTGAGCCTTCTGAACTCAGTTAAAGGCTTTTCACTTTGTCTTAGGACATAGCTGTTCCTGCGGTCTATTTAAAAAAACCAACCCAACCATTCAAATGAATGCAAACATTTCTTAGAAACGTCAACTTTTATGTACCACCTTTGTGGTACATAATCTCCAAAACAGGCTAACAGCTCCACAGAGCTCCAAGCACAGGCGGAACTAACGAACCATCAGACCCACTTACAAGTTTGGGCTGTTCTTCCCTTAGCAGGCTAGGA